AGAAGAAGAAGAAACATCACAGAAAACTAAGAAATTAATTTTCAGATGTGATTTGATTCAAGGTAGAATATAAAAATATTCACCATTAGAAGTACAGCTAGAATGGAAGACATCTTATCTCTTGTGTCTGTACATAGGCATGCATGGTGACGTGGCATAAGTAAGGGCAGTATTGTCTGTGAGAGAAGAGGCTGGAGAAGAGGAGGCTGTGGTACAGAGTGCCTTGACAACCTTCAGCTGCTTTGACTTACTTGAGTGTCCCTGTTGGTTTTGACCCAGGAAATTGCATTTTAGAAAGATTGCTTTAGCATGGCTCGAGAGAAATATTCTAGAATGCTAGAAAATTCATTGATAAATTCTAAGCAAGGGATAGCATTTTTGGAACAATGGAGAAAAGGATAGAAATGGAAAGAAGGATGGATAGGAATAACACGAAATTTAGAGAAGGTAAAGCCTAAGTTCCCAAGAAAAATGGGCAGAACAAAGAGTTAGGAGAGAAACCCATAGGCAGCTGGATAAAAGACTCAAGAGGCCAGTTTTGAAGAACACAAATATTATTGCTGAAAACAACATGTTTTCCTACATTGTGAAAGGGATGACAGCATTTTCTAGGACTACCTGTAGAATGAAACCAGGTTAAATAAAAGTTGTGTTAGATTTTTTTTTTTTTTTCGAGACAGGGTTTCTCTGTGTAGCTTTGCGCCTTTTCTGGAATTCATTTGGTAGTCCAGGCTGGCCTGGAACTCACAGAGATCCGCCTGTCTCTGCCTCCCGAGTGCTGGGATTAAAGGCGTGCGCCACCACCGCCCAGCAAGTTATGTTAGATTATACTGACTTTATATACTGTACTTACACCTATAGTGTACAACAGAGTCAATAATACTTTGAAGGGAAATTACAAGAGTTAATGGCACTTGATATCAATACTGAGATAGATACAATGGCTTCAGTGTTGCTGATAGGTTATGGAATGTTGGAAATTATCACTATACTCATGAAAGGATGACAGCTCCTTTCATGTCTATTGACTAGAAGGAATGAAATATTAGTCTTTTTTGGAAAAAATATCCATCTCAATGACATAAGCAAAACAATGCCTGCATTTCTCGGTGGATTCCATATTGATCCTTGAAAAACTGGATTTCTTTTGGTAGGTAAGGAAGAGTAAAGAGTGACTGAAATAGCACTGTGGGCCACAGATTCTTGGCTTCCTGTTTTTGTGATTTATGTATGCAATTCATTTAGTCTTTTTCATCAGTTAAATTCTGTATATTTAATGCTATAGCAACTTAAATTTTGTAGATAAGAAAATTTAGGATTAGAGTATTTACATAATTTACCATCACCAAATTAAGTATCTGGTAGGAATCTTTGAATGAAGACACCTGCAATGCTAATTGTAAGAGGAAATGAATAAATAAAACATTTTTTTTCTGCTAGACTTTTAAATTAAAAATGAAAATAATTGTTACTTATTATGTATGACTATTGTAATAGTTATGATTTTCATGTAATTATTTCAATTGTTAAAACATCAAAGTTTCTACTAGTGATGACTACATAAGATACTTTTATGTTAGGATTAATTAGCTTTGGTGCCTGATTAGACTGGATATCTAGTGTAGTTATCTAATATAGCTTCAAAGTTTCTGCTTCTCAAAAGCCCATATAGAGGTGAGCCTAATCTAAATGGTGAAATTAAAAATGCTCCACAAGTATGTCTACAGGCTAATTTGATGGAGTAATTTTTTTCAGTTAATGTGCACTCTTCCCAGATGACTCCAGTCACATTGACAGAAAAACTAACCAGTACAATTGACCCCACATGAACTTGACACACAAACACATCACGATTAAACTATACCTTTTCCTTGTTTTGTTTATCACCAAGATCTCATAATAATATCACAATATAAAACATAACTTTAAAAGCCATTTTAAATGCTTTCTTACTCTATGAAGGAGGTGTCAAGACACGGTTACAACCAAATCAAAGAAAAACTAATATCTGGCAGTGCAATTCAAATCCCATAGCTCAGTGTGTGGCATTTTGAAATCTCAATTGTCTGTGTTCTGAAGGGCTTGGGAAACTCCATCTATCAATCTTTGCCACCCACAGTACACACAGCTTGTGTTGTAGGCTCAAGCTAACTCTGCTCCACACACCTGCCGTTATGCCTTTTGGTCATCCCACAGTCTTGTAATCTCCAAAATCTTTGGTTCTCCACTGAAACTGAGGCTGTACTTTCACCAATAGCATCTCCTGGGCCCTATTCAGGGACTCCAACCTTACCATATGATGGGAAGACTAGTTTCTCTCCATTATCCCTTCAATGCTTCAGCTTTCATGCCAGTAGACTCACTACAGGGGAGACTCATAAACATTACCAAGTTTAGCTGCCATCCTGAGGTGCAGCCTTGGCTGCCCTGGGCCATAGCTGTATGCTGACTTTGAGGAAATACTCCCCAGGAGATTTCACTTCAAAGATGCTCTTGTTAGTCACAGCTGAGTTTTCAGCCCCCAATAGCCAACATATACTGTCCAACTAATGCAATGTTTTTTATTTAAGTGGCTCTTGTTTATTGTTAATTGCACCCGATTCTTCAGCTCTAGCTGACCAGAAATGACAGAGTCTTAATTCAAAGTATCACATGAATAGCTCTGATAGTCCTCAAGGGGTTATCAAACTTCCCTCTGACACTTCACAATCCACGGATTTTTTTTCTCTACACTCCTATCTTTCAAGCTCCCACCGAACAGCACATTAAGCTTTGAGCAGTCAACAGTTTTCCAGCTCAAAGCTTCAAACACTTCCACAATCCTTCCAAAAACAACATGATCAAGTCTGTCACAATAGCCCAATTCTCTGGTACCAATTTCTGCTCTACTTTCTACTGCTATGATAAAACACTGGCCAAAACCAGCTTAGAGAAGGCAGTGGTTTATTTCATTTTACAGCCTACAGTCCATCGTGAAGGGAAGTCAAGCGCAGGAACTCATGTGAGGAACTGAAGTAGCACTATGGAGGAATGCTGATCTCTTGCTTCTTCCCCCATGGCTTGCTTAGCTTCCTTTCTTAAGCAACCCAGGACCAACTATCCAGGGACTGCACAACCCACAGTGGGCATGACCCTTCATCAATCAGTAATCAAGAAAATGCCCCACATGCTTTCCTCCAGGCCAGTCTGATGGAGGCCTTTTCTCAATTGAGGTTTCCTCTTCCCAGATAATTCTCACTTGTGTCTAAGTTGATAAGGACACTAACCAGCTCAAATATAAAACAAATTATCTTGGTTGACTGAAACGTCTGCCAAACATGAAAGTTTATGTTATAAATGCAACAAAATTGCCATTGCGGAATACCTACTAGTAGAATCCTGTGTCTTGTTTCCAGAGACTTGTTTTATTGTTATATAGTTGTGTTAGCTGACTTGTTACTTTTCCTTTTATAAGTACAGGTATACTTGACAACTCTAAATAGTCTATTACTTAGTGAGTTAATTGTGGTGTCAGTGGCCTAAGAGAAGCTTCATGAAAATAACATTATAGTCATTTCTCATTAGTGTTAGCTATGCACACTTGAAATAAAGTTCCTATTTTTCTTCCAATTTTGAGCTTAATTGGTGTATTAGTTACTTTCCATGTTGCTGTGATAAACAATGGCACAATTTCAGGAGGAAGGTTTATTTTGGTTCATAGTTTGAGAGTGTTGTCTATGATGATGAGGAATTAATGGTGGCAGGGACTCGAGGCTGCTGGTCACATTATGTCTGTGCTTAGGAAGCATAGGACAATGAATTCTTAGTCCCCCTCCCCCTCTTTTTTTTTTTTTTCTTTTTCATTCAGCCCAGACTCTAGTTCAGGGACTGGTCACTGTGAGAGTGTCTTTCTACTTTAATTAACCCAATATAGATAATCCCTCAAAGGCATGCCTTGTGTCTAAGCTTATCTAGATAACTCCTCAGTCATTTCTATTGGTCTACCACATGATTCTAAGTCCCATTTACTCATTGAGATTCAACTTTACAGTTGGGGTAGACGTTCTCCAAAATATAGGTAGTAATCCCATGCACATTCAAAATTGTCTGGAAAAGTTATTTTTTGGAAGATAGTACAATATATTTTGCAAAGATGGTCACTGAAATAGCGTAACATTGAAATTTTAACTTGGTTCCTGCTTCAAACCTAGAAGAGACTAATTATTTTCAGCTTCAACCCTGTGTTAATCTGCTTTTATTGGGAACAAAGACAAGCATAAATAAATACTCTTATACTTCAAAACTGCAATAAAGGTTAGAATCTATACTTGATCAAATTTGTACTCTTCGAGGTGAATTGTTATCAACAAAATTCTTGGAAAACTCTACCTGTTACTGCTTAATCTTTTCTTTTCTTTTCTTTTTTTTTTTTTTTTTTTTGGTTTTTCGAGACAGGGTTTCTCAGTGTAGCTTTGCGCCTCTCCTGGAACTCACTTGGTAGCCCAGGCTGGCCTCAAACTCACAGAGATCCGCCTGGCTCTGCCTCCCGAGTGCTGGGATTAAAGGCGTGCACCACAACCGCCCGGCTGCTTAATCTTTTCTATGATTGCTAAATTGACATTCAAAGTCTTTCAAAATGCCTCTAAACATTATAGCAAAGACAAAGTTTAAAGGTAGAACCTGTATTCTTATATTTACTTACTTATTATTTTGAAAAAGGTTTCTATTTATATTTAGCATCACTCATATAGGTGACATATTTTAGGTATTTATTAGAGTTTTTGAGTTTTATTTGCATAATGAATTACATTTTTAAGAATACTAATCATAAATCTTTATCTTAGTAATACACCAATTTTTCTCAGAGTCAATGTTCAGTCATTTGGAAAATAATGTTTAAAAGATACATTTTTTTGTCTCTTATAAATTTTGTCATAAATTTTTAATAATTTTTTTCTGACAGGAAAATGGCTGATTACTTTCTACATACTAAAATGTGATTTTTTTCCTATTTATTGTAGGTTTTATTGGGATTTAATAATGCTTATAATGATGGTTGGAAATTTGGTCATCATACCAGTTGGAATCACATTCTTTACAGAACAAACAACAACACCATGGATTATTTTCAATGTGGCATCAGATACCGTTTTCCTATTGGACCTAATCATGAATTTTAGGACTGGGACTGTCAATGAAGACAGCTCTGAAATCATCCTGGACCCTAAAGTAATCAAGATGAATTATTTAAAAAGCTGGTTTGTGGTTGACTTCATCTCATCAATCCCAGTGGATTATATCTTTCTTATTGTAGAGAAAGGAATGGATTCAGAAGTTTACAAGACAGCCAGAGCCCTTCGCATTGTGAGATTTACAAAAATTCTCAGTCTCTTGCGTTTATTACGCCTTTCAAGGTTAATTAGATACATACATCAGTGGGAAGAGGTAAGTCCCCTGTTTTTCTTTCTTAAAGCCACTGTATCATGTGATTTTCATGACTACAATTTGAATATGTATGTGCTATGTGTAATGACTTGCATGAAATTTAAGAACAAATAATTCCCAGAGTTCTCTTTTCTGGTATTCAAGTGATATTTGGATATCTGAAAGAAGTGAGCCAATTGAGACCAACTATAAAACATTCTACCCATTGAATATATTTTAAGCAAATACACTTTAACTGACATATTGTTATCCTAGTCACTGAGACTTCTCCCATGCCTTGGAAGATTCTTTTTATTTAAAAAGAATGCATCAAATTTCTTCTTTGACAAAGATGTTTAGGGTATGATCGGTAATCTGATATATCATCATGTATAAAAAATACTGGTATATGTTTCCAACAATATTGGAATTTCAGTGAATGTATGATTGAGGAAAATACATCTCCTTGGTTATCTTTCAATTCTATAAATTCATATTTGAGTTTAGCATACTAAGCCTGTTCATTGGTTTTTGTTGCCTACAGTTATTCATTATAGTTTTCCCCAATTAGTTCATTTCATAATAGTGAAAAAAAACCCACCATACCTAGGAAGGAAATTACTACATAGAAAACACAAAGGAATAAATGCAGTGAATCTAGCCAATTAGACCTCTTGGCTGCTGAATAGGGCATCTGCTGTTCTTAGACAGTGGGTGGGATGCTGAAAGAGCTCTGCCAACTGACGTTTCCAAAGGTCTGAGTTAAATATACCACCATCAAGCAAATAAGTACCTCTTTCCACAGCTAGTATATTAACCTTTTTTGGCTTTTTCCTTCATAAGCATGGCTCTTTGTATTAATTATAAACTGAATTTGATTGTCTGCATAAGAACGAGAGCGCAAAAGACCTCCAGAGTACCTAATGGAACACTGTAATGAAAGCCATACGCTGACTCTGGATTGTTGTTTTGCTCCTACAGAAATACCTTTTGGTATTTTAAGAGATGAATTATGGTTTTAAAGAAGTCATGAAATGCAAGTTTTATTTACTTTCTGGGCAGCTGTATCAATGTTTTTCTGTCGGCTTGTCAATGACATTTTGGTTCACAGGCTCTCAGGAAATGACACACAATGATAAAACACTGCATAATATACTGATGAAAGCCATAAAATGGATCATTCTTAAAATATGGATCTGGAATATATTTAAAAATAATTGAAGCATATTTGAGAAATTAGATTCACTTGTAACATTTCTATCTAATCGGAAATTAATGTCCAGTTCTCAAAGCTTTTTTTTTTGCAATAATTTGAAAATAATAATTGAAGATGATTCTTGATAATAACCAATATTTATTGGGGAGATTGTATTAATGACAAGCAGTTTTTAATTCTTTGTACAAATTTGCTCCCTGAATCTTCTCTACAACCCAAAGAGATAGATTCTATTGTCGTCAATGTCAGGCGAAGACAAACACTCTAAGGCTCCTTGCTGGGACTCAGAGGCTGGTAAGGGGTGGAGCTGGGATTCATACAGCAATCAGACCCCAGAGCTGTGGTCTTAACATGCAAAAGTGTATAGGTCTCACTGTAGCTTGTACTCTTTTCTTTATAAACATCCCATTATCCCACCATTTTTTAGATTGTTTATGGAACTGTACAGAGCTTTTCTTACATGAGAATGTGGTCATTGTAACATTATAAAACTGAACAGCTACTCCCAAAGCAAGGGCACAAAAATATTTTGACATATAGTCAGTGAGAGAAAAGTCACAGATAGAGCTACCCAGTCAATTAAAAATACAGTAGGCAGTGTAACTATTTTTTAATGACTTTCAGTTTTAACCCAGTTATCCCAGGGAATGGCAGCAGGATGAACAGATGGCATCCTATCAGATAAAATGACAGAGCATGTGGTCAGAGAGGACACTCCTTAACACCGACATTTTCTGTTCCTGGCAATGGTCACAGGCACCTAGATCTGTGTGGCATTACAGAATTTTAAAGGTGCCTGCGATGTCATTCAGAAACATCAACTGTCTGATATCATTATTGTGAAATGCAATTTAATATGCACTTAGTGAAATTTGCTAACCACATGCATTCAGGAGAGAGTTGAGAGTTGGCAAGATCTTTCTTATAAATAAATGACCTTGGTAATAAATGAATCAGAAGCTCATTTAGCTGAAGAATGTTTTCTTGGTTATATGATACACCCATATAATAATACATATCATGAATGTTTAATGACTGATAGCAATACTCTTACTAAAGACGAAGAAATGGAATCACACTCCAGAATTTAATATAAATTCATTTATTCCACCTACACAATTCAAACTATAATCACAAAGAAACTTGAATGGCTCCCAAACTGGCATGTCTCTACCTGACTTTTATAAATGCCACCGGGGTGTGTTTACAAGTGGAAATACAAGTTAATCATCAGAAGTAGCTGTATGAGCTTTTGGATTAAGACTGCAGAGGAAGATATGAGTTCACCCACATGTCTTTGAGTTCTGAGTGTTTTAGTACCAGGCTGGCTAATGCTAAATTCAGCAAATTTGGGGAAGTCATGTGTGAAGTCTGGAAGCTGCCACTGTTCTAAATGAATCATTCCCAAGGAAAGCAGCTGCCTGCTATAGGGAACTGTGTTCATCATTGGTGGTGCTTTTTTTTTTTTTTTTTTCCACCCCCGGCCTGGATTAGTTCAACTAAAACACAAGAAGAGTCTCTGAAGCCAGATAAATTAGAAAAATATTATGAATGAGATGCAGGAAGTTTGACATTTGCCCTCTGTGGTCCATCAAGGCTACATGTGAATGTGTAGGAGGAAACAGTTGATGAGGATGATCAATTTATAAATGCCCTAGGGTTAAGGTATCAAGGGGGAAGTTACCTTCTCAAATCAATTGTAAGATCAATGATTTAGATTGTAAAAACTGAGCTCTTTGACACTAAGTTGAAGTTTTATAAACATGGTCAATGATATGGAAATCTGAACGATTTAGATAAATTAAGCTATATTTTTTTTAGTGAGATCTTGAGCAAATGGGTTTTCCTCACTCTTGTGTTTTGTTTTTTTTCTTTATTAAGAAATTTTTTAATTCATTTTACATATGTATTTTCGTTTTTAAAAGTCATTCCCCTAATTAAGCGATATTACTTTTCTTATGGTTGACTTTCAAGTATGGCAGAGTTCCATGCCGGATTGCTGTTTCATAATCTATCACAGGGGAAACAATTCTGTATGACCCTCCAAAAAGACACATATGGTGAGGAAATCCTTGAAAATTAAATGGAACATTATTAACAATTTGTGATGATCATAAACCTCTAAAGAGATAAAGACCAGATTAAAAGCTTAGCAAACAGGGGATTATTTGCTGTATAAAAGTGAAGGGTTCTCAAAACCTCAAGTGCCCTTTTGTTGACCTCGGTCTCTTTGTCCAAGGGAGATGATCCTTGACCCGTTTTAGAGCCTTGTAAAATATCAACTGAAAGCATATGCATCACTTTGTGTACAGTTACTGTGGTATGTGACTACAATCCCAGAGCTAAGTGGGAGACTGGGACAGGAGGATGACCATGAGTTCCAGGCCAGCCTGAGCTGTATAATAAGATACCAGCATAGAAATAATGGAATGACAAATAACATTTGAAGGAAATATTTCCCTTCTATAAGGGTTATCCAATTACAGGGTTCAGTATTTCAACTAAACTAGACATTCCTTCATGGATCATGTAAAAGATGTAGTGCAATGTGTGATTGTATAGTAACCGTAGCTTGCTGGTATACAGCATATTTTGTTTAGTTCTCATTTCCTATCTCCTTAACTTCTTTTGTGTGGATTTTAGGCATATTACAATCAAGTAAATGCACTTTGAGGCAGGAAGGAAGGCTTGTAACTGAATATCTTAGGCACAGCAGTTGCAGATAGATAATTTGTTGGCATGTTACAGTGCTTTTCTACTAATCAATTTTAGATTATGACATTGGATTAGAAGATTTGTCTACAATTTGTGAGCAGTAACACAGTGTTGTTAAGGAGACAGTCTTATAGGAAACTAAGACACAATTTGGTTTCTGGTTTTTGTTAATTTTAACATGTTATTTGGTTCAGATTAAAACTTAACTCTTGGTATATATTATCTGGCTACTAAACATTTTAATGTATTTTAAGCACATTTGCTTTTAGAAAACACATAAAACTTCAAGTCCTGTCACAAGCAAATAAAGTGTTTGCCCAAACCTGCCCTCTACTAGAGTGTAGAGAGGCTCGCTCTTATCCATCACATCCAATCTGTGTTTCTTTGATGTGCCTCCAAGGCTCTCCAGCACACTGCACTCATTTTTCCGCCTCCTCCCTTCTTTGCACCAACATTTGCTTGTTTTTAGTTTTACTATACCTGAAAATAACAATTATCTCCATTACAATAAGGTTGCGTGTGCAGCCCCTCAGATTGGAAAGTCATTTTTCCCCTTTGTCTGTCCTTTAAAAATTGATTCAAAGTCATTTCCAGAATGTATTCTATCTGGATGCACTCATTTGTAATAGCCAGTACTGTTATACTGATGTATTCTTCTGGCTCCGAATATTTCAGTTCATGATAGTCACGTGTGCTGTCCCTGCCTTTTCTAGACATGAACATTTAAATGGAAGAGTCACTCTCTATTTTGTCCTTGAGTCTCCTTGTGTACTAGGATAGGACCATTTTTTTTTGTTTTGTTTTATTTTGTTTTGTTTTTTGAGACAATGTTTCTCTGTGTAGTTTTGGTGCCTGTCCTGGATTTCCCTCAGTAGACCAGGCTGGCCTCGAACTCACAGAGATCCACCTGGCTCTGCCTCCGAGTGCTGGGATTAAAGGTATACACCACCACCAACACCCAGCTGGATCTTAAACACACTATATTATGAGAGCATGCTATCTGTTACCCACATGATAATTTAGGTGCTAAATCCACTAAATGTATAAATAATATTCATTTTTTTATGCTGAAGCATTTTAAAGTAGTGTT